CACCTGCCCACACCAAGATGTAGTAGTGCCTTCCAATGTCTTGTATGGGCAGAAGTGTTTTTCAGTACATTCTCCTGAAATTCTCTAGCATTGAGACTGATGTGCTGCTTGCAGCCAATTCCTGTGACAAGACATATCTTTTCCACCAAGCACTGCTGTGTTTTTGTTGCAAGTCTTTAGAAAAACTGGAAATTTGGCTCTAGTTCTACTGTAGAACTATAAAACCACAACATTCATAGGTAAGGTTAAATGCACTGTTCATGTTAATAGAAGGTAGGATTTGGAGCACAAACAGTATGTTTTAGAAGACTATAAAACAGCAGCAGTATTGTTTTTGTTGGTTTCCTTCGCCTCACCACGCCCCCCCCACATCATGAAGAGTTACTAAATCATGCTCTGAGGATTCACATCCTGGGTCTGCTTTGAGCAATCTGCTTTAGTGCCACCTGTCCATCAGCCCTTTGGCATCAGAAACTGCACACCAAAATAAACTCCTTTAAGTGCAACCTGAGTGTTTAGGGCGCACTACTGACCTGCTGTTTAGTGCTCTTGTTTGGTTTGACCGAATAGTGAATATCCTTCATGGCTCTTTCTATCAGGATTACAGTGTACGGCCTCTTGGTTTCAGGGTTCACACATTTTTCGGCTACAATCGTTGCAATGTCTCTAAACATCTGCTCCAGCTGTGTATGTCGCTCTTTATCAGACACCTGCAACTCCCCTTTTGATAAGATCTGGAAGTAATGGATCAAAAATAAAAGCCTCTGTTAAGAAAGTTTCTTATGCCATAAGAAACTTTATGGCAAGAATGGCATTGCCTTGTTCTCAATGATTATTATGTATTTCAACTTTTATTTTAATTGGAGTATTAATTTCTAACTACAAACAATTATGCAAAAGTATAAACAATTCTTTAAGAGATGAAAAAAGAAACCATTAATTTTTAAATGTTAAATTCGATGCATCAAGCTAAACATTTCAAAGAGAAAAAAATATCTAAACTCTGCAACCATTTCAAAATAAGCACCAATACTCGTATTTGATTACAAAGCATAAAGTGACTAGTTATTCCCTGCTGTATTATAAAAATACGTGCAACTAAAAAAATGCAAACAACGCCCCCCCCCAACCTTTGTGACCAGGCTTCTCAAACAAAAATGTCAGTACAGAACACAGATTTATAAACATAGCTGAAAAAATAACGCAACAAATGGAACAACAGTGCTTTCCATTCTGGGCCACTGGTTTGTTAGCAATTGAAAAACATCTCTCAAGAGTTAACACCAGTGCTGCCAATAGCAAGTAGGTAGGTGTCCATACACACCAGCTCTCAGCATGCTGATCTAACACGATGGCTCAAGTTGGTATTCTTAAAGACGACAGAATTCAAACACTTTCCTACCCAAAAGGGGGATTCTGTGACCAATCTCCGAAAGGAAGAATAATACACTAGAAAACTTTAGAACTTGAGCAGCAGCAGAGGGAGATTCAGTTTAGTTGACTTTTAACAGCAGGCAACTTGGATCTTGCATTGCCCATAACAATCGGCTATCTGTATTCCTGCATGGATGCAGAACCCACCGTTTTACAGATTTCTGTCTGGTCATCAGTCCCGAAAGCCTTGATGAGATCTTCCTTCTTTGCAACTTGGCCTTTAGAGACATTGACAAACACCGTGTGGGTCTGCAGAACTTCCTCGATATCTTTTTCACTGGTAAAGGGATTGTACAGAGGATTAGAAGATGCCCGGAAACTGTCTGAAGCCTCTACTGTTAACTACCCAAAATACTGCTATGCTGTTAACTGAGGGAGCAAGGAGCGGGCCTAGGGGTCTGAGACTGCAGCTCCAACTAGCAGAAACTAGTAACTTGGCTGTGTGGGCAGCCCTCCTCAGCCCCATAACTCACTGTTGGCACCTAAGAGTGTACTGTGGGACCTTCTGCAAACCGGACTACACCGCATGCAATGGAGAAATTAAATTCCCTTTGTCATTTCAAGGGGGATTAGTCTGTTAGCACGGCGCTGTTGGAGATGCAGCCAGCAGGATCCGGCCTGTAGGTCATGGACTGACACTGCACATGGCACGTGTTGGCCCTGGCTGTGTGCGCTGAATCCTGCACGTGGGGCTGGTCTGGCATGTGCCACATGCAGCGCTCGCACTGGACACGGCCCTGAAGCCAGTCTGGATGAAGCCCATACACTGTCCAAGGCCTCCCTTGGACTTCATGCGGGCGCGTGTGTCCTGTGTCCGCTCCATGTGAGAATCCCAAACCAGAGCCAGTGCACTGGACTGGGCCACAGCAAGTGGGAGGAGCTTCCTGACCTACTGTCTTCATGTGGGCTGTGGGGCAGGATAGCCCTGTGTTAGCACAGGGAGTTTCAACCTTTTTTGAGGAGTGCACAGGTTTCCCTCGCTTTATGCAGTACATGCATTTGTGGACAATGGCAAATTTGCATAAAGGGACCCCACTTTACAATGTAACAAACAGGGAGACATTCCAAGATCTCAACTGCACTGACCCCCAGGCCCATTTCTACCACTTCTACAAGACAATTTTGGGACTTGCCAACAGCAGAGAGGAGTAGGAGATAAGTTAGCGGGATGTGCAGAAACCATAACAGGGCCGGCAGCTACGGAAACTCGTGTTGCGCATGGCTCCGTACAAGACACTATTGTGATGCACGTGGCACAGCACAAAGCAGCCGACAGCGGGCTCCCACCACCCCGAGGGGAGATTTACCGTGAATTCTGGGTATAAAAAGGGTGAGTACAGAACCCGCGTAAAGCGAGGGAAACTCGTGTACCCCGTCTGGATGTGAAGGGGGGGTGGGCTGGGTCCTCCCCGCGTCCACCCCTGCGCTAGCAGGCGCTGCGACACATCCTGCCCGCCACCGAGGGACATAAAAACACCAAGATCTGCCTTGTCCGGGGTCGGAGGAGCCATCGGCCCATCCTGCCCGGGCCCGATACACCCCCGCCGGCCACCTCGCCCACATAGGCCCATCGCTCCCCGCCGGGCGCGGCCGCACTCACGAGCCGCTCCGCCAGCCCATGACCTTGTTGCGGTAGCAGGCGATCTCGAAGCGCTTCCCGGCGCGGCGGGCGCGCACCACTGCCACGTTCGTGAGGCGGATCTGGTTGGTGGGGGTGAAGATCGACATGGCGACACCTCCACTGCGTACGGGTCCGCCGCCTTCTCTGTCCCCCCCCGGGGGAGGGGCGAGGCCAACTTCCGCCGCTCCCCATTGGTCACTTACCCCTCCGCCCCCTCTGTGGCGTCACGGCGCCGGCGCCAAGCGGGGTCCGGCTCGGAAAGGAGCGCGGCTGGAAACGCGGCTCCGGCGCGTGGCGTTCCGCGGTCTCCCCCAGCTCCCGCGCGTGTCCGCCTCGCTGCGGCCTCGGCATGGGTGAGGTCCCGGGCGCGGGGGGCCGGGGAGCATCCGACCCGTGAGGAGAGCCCGGCCTGGGACTGCAGCTGCCTCTGCTCAGGGGCAGGCGGGCGCCAGGGTTTGGGGGAGGGGATACGAAACCTGACGCCTTGATGTCGCCTATTGTTCTCCGCTCCCCTTTTGTTGAAGAGAAAAATAGAGGACGTTTCTCCTCAGGAAAGAGAGCACATGTGTCTCTCTAAAAGAGGACAGAAAAGCATCAGGTTTTGTATCCATAGAGAACGGGATGGTGCTCTACGATGCCCAGCCTAGCTTGGGGTCCAGGAGGGATTTTACCCCCTGGTCAGACTGGTCCGGACGGGGGGGTGGGGGCGGAGAGAGGCGTTTTGTAGCGGCTGGAGACCCCTCGAGCACGTATTGACGATGTCTCGTAGAAGCAGGGTTTTGGTTGCGGTGGTTCCCCTGCTTCCCCCATGGCAGGCCGGGTGCTGGTGTCAGGGTTGAGGGTCGTCTTGTGTGGAGTTTTGACAATCCTCCCTAGGTGAGCTGTGGAGGTCCCTTCCCATCCTGCTTCTCTACGATTTGATCACCCCGTGACTATTCGAAGCGCGCTACGGCGTCCGTTCTTTATCTGGGATACGAGGATGCGGTTCAGATCTAGTGCCAAGACCTTATTTTGCTAGGTGAAGGGACAGCTGGCCTCTGCTGAATGGATTTGAGAGGCAATCTGCAATTGCACAAGTCCAGGCGGGGTTTGCAGACCAGGCAGGCTCCATCGTGGGACTGCGAGATACTGCGTGTGTGTTTTCTGCTTGCTTTAAGTGGGTTGGCACTGAAGGAAGCTGTCACTGCTTTTGCTTTTTTTGAGTGCCATAGATTTCATAGATTTTTAGGGTTGGAAGGGACCTCAGTAGATCATCGAGTCCGACCCCCTGCCCTGGGCAGGAAAGAGCGCTGGGGTCAGATGACCCCAGCCAGGTGCTTGTCTGGTCTGCTTTTAAAGACCTGCAGGGTATGGGGACCCCCTCCCTTGGAAGCCCATTTCAGATTCTGGTAACCCTCACTGTAAAGAAGTTCTTCCTGATGTCTAACTTAAATCTGCTCTTGTCTAAATCTGCTCCTGCCATGATTCATTCTCCTTTCAGATGCGTCAGTGGATACTTGGAGTTACCTCTACGCTCACCTGATGTCCTTGTGGCTACACAGGTTTTACATCTATTCTTGTGCAGCTTTTGGCATCAGTATTTGGATCTGCATTCAGTTCTTTGCCAGCAAAATCAAAAAGCAAGTAAGTGATATTTCCCAGTCCTAGTATTGTATCATTTGGCCTGAAAAGATTCCAGCGTGCTTATTCAAGAGGCAGTGAACCCACCAGTGAAATGTATCCCTCTCTGCTGTGTAACATGGTGCTTCGTTTCACTTTGGTCCTCTCTAGAGTCAAGAAAGTTCAAAACTATTGAAGTTTAAATGCAGTTTGGGGTACTTGAAAGTCATGGTATTTGATGTGTGTTAAGATTCCAGCTGAAGAATGGCCTGCTGAATGCTTTCTGTGCGTCTTGTGTATAAGGAGCTCCCTCAAGCAGTCACATTGGTTCATTTTGCAAAGAGCAGTTGTCATTGAGCCTTGGCCTGTTAGTCCTTTAAATATGATATTCCGCTTCTGACAGTATGGCTTGTGTGCATGATATCTATGTGAAACTGACTGAAAGGGGAAAGGGTGAGATGCTGTTATTGTTTTGTAGGATGGAAAAGCCATCAGGAAGCCAGCTTCATTGGAAGTAACTGACGACGTACTGGTTAATGGATACGCAACCCCAAAGGCAAAAGAGATTTATGTGGCAGGAGTGAAGATTTTCTATGGATCACAGACTGGCACAGCTAAGGTAAAAGTCACTTTAATCCGTTTGGTTAAAGGGAATGCAAAATGACACTAGGGTGTCAAAGTGTAAATAGGTCTGGCTTGTAAACACTGCGATGGGGTGAGACCTGAAAGTGGAACTTGCTAGCCTTAATTGGCCAATATGAAAAATAAATAGTGAGAAATGAATTAGATTAAAAAGTATTCAGCTCTGACCCAAAGGGCTGTAGATCATAGATAAGAACTTAAGGTGCCTGTACACAAGCAGGGAAGCTGTTCCGACATGCTGTAATTCCAGCGTAGCGGAGCAGACTTGAGTCGCCTGGAGTGTGGTCATTACCGTGCTTCAGCAGCCTCCTGTGTCATGTATTAGCATCTCCTCGCTTCAAAATGATGGCAGGGGCACTTAATCTAAATTTAGGTAGACGAGCTTTAGATAAAGCGCTTCCGCTGCCATTTTGAAGCACAGGGACACTGATACATGAGATGCTCCGGGTGCTTTATTTAGAGCAGCTCTCGGAGTTGCTCTGATTAAAGCGGTTCCCATCCCCCATTCCCGAAGCACATGTATAAACACCCTTATGTTCTCAATTGTTTGCTGTCTAAACACCCTTTTGAGGGCAGGTGTTGCTTTATACTGTTTCTTTCTCAAAGACAAATCTACCTTAAAGTTCTCTCTCTCCTGTGTGCATGTAACTAGTCTGGAAAACATATAAAACTGTCTTTTTCTGAACCTTTTTCCTCCCAGAAAGAGAATGCTAGCTAATATGACAACCACGCCGTATGCATCCTTGTTCTACCTCTGTACATTGTATTAACTATTATTCTTCTGGTATCCATTGCTCATTGCAAGGTTTATAGGTGTCTCGCACCCTCTCGTAACAGCCAGACAGAATGGAGTTTGTTCAGCGCTCACTTTGTTTGGGTTGATGTAGTTAAAGGTTTCTCCTGTCTCCCCAGGGGTTTGCAGCAGTTCTTGCTGAAGCCATTATCGCTCTTACTTTGCCTGCAGAACTTATTAACATGGGAGAGTACGATCCCGATGACTGCCTGGCTGAGGAGGTTGGTAAAATACTTGGAACCATTGCCTGAGGATGTAGAAGGGCCTGGCTGTTTCTTCCCTCTGTGTTTCCCTGCAGGCATCTCCGCAGCTCCCTGCAAGTCTAATGTACCTGTGTTTGAAGAACACTTTCCTATCCTGTGTGGAGTAACAGAGCTCTTTAGTGTTTGGCTACAGAAAAAAGCCAGTGTCTTGAGAATGAGGGTCTGTGTCGCAGACTGGGGGTATCTGGGCTCTTCCTGGTTTTGCCGCAGACTTTCTCAGTGAGAGTGAGCAACTTGCCTGGAACTTCACAGCCAGGAAAATGTGGGACTGTGACATAGCACATTCATGTTCATTAAGTCCTTTTGAGGTCCTTGGAGGTGCTGTAGAGGTTGAAATTCAGATTCATAGTTCATGGTCTCAACAATGTCTATGCATTTTTAATTTACAGACCTCTCAAATGAACCTTTATGCTGTGTCATGATATCCTGTGAGGGGAAAGCTGGCTTAGAATAGTCAATGCCCTGTCTTTGTAAACTATTCCTTTCCTCTGCTCTGTTATCCTTAGACAATCAGCAAAAATGTCTGTGTGTTCCTAGTTGCAACCTACACAGAGGGACAGCCAACTGAGAATGCAGCCTGGTTCTGCAAGTGGTTAGAAGAGGCTGCAAATGACTTCAGGTTTGGCAAGACATATCTGAAAGGCATGAGATATGCTGTGTTTGGCTTGGGCAATTCGGTATATATCGACCACTACAATACGGTAAGGCTCCCTGAAGTCTCTGTCTCTTGTCTCCTTATCCCACAAGTTGTGGACTATCCTCCAAACCCATGGATTTCCATGCTGTTGCCAAGGTTTCAGTGTTAATACAGTTCTGGCTGTTAGTGTTCTGGGGCATTTGTGTGTGCACTTTGGAAGTGGGGGCGGGGAGGGGAGGAAGCTGCTCTGAGCATCTTGTGTATCAGCGTCCTCGCACTTAAAAATGGTGGCAGGGGCGCTTTATCTAAAGCTCATTGAATGAGCTTTAGATAAAGTGCCCCCACTGCCATTTTTAAGCACGGGGATGCTGATACATGAGACACTGGAGTCTGCTGAAGTGTGGTAATTACCACATTTCAGCCGACTCGATTAATTGCGTCTGCTCCGATGCGCTGCAGTTACAGCACATCAGAGCAGCTCGCTGCTCATGTGTTGGGTGCCCCTGGTGACTGTTTCTGTGAGGAAATTGGTGAACTAGTTATGAAGGTTTTCTGTGGGTTTGAATAGGAATTGTGTTGGACCATAACCTTTGATAACACAGCCTTTGTGTGAGTGCAGTATCGATTCAGAGAGAAAGGGAGTGAGTTCCACTGGTTCAGCAGGAACTTGTGGACTTTTTTTTTTACTCAGGATGCTGTAGTCCATTTACATTCACTTTTCAAAGGACAAAAGGACCCTCTTGCTTGCTGCCTTTTCCATCATCTCCTTTTTGCTTGCTGTGAGGGACCATATAAATATTGTTCTTGGGGCCTTCCTCTGAAAGTATTCAGACCTACTAACCAAGATAATCTAAACTAGAGAGAAACAAATGATGAAGCTTATCATTAGGTTAGTATATTTGTCCAGTACTGGGTGGGCTGGTGCCACATCATGTATTTTAAATATATTGGGGCATGTTGTTATCAGGCAATTCTGGACAAAAAAATCCTTAGCCCTTAGAGACTGTCTGTTATGTGACTGATGATAGTAAAACTGCTTTAAAGGTGAAGAAACGGTGAGGTCTAGAGACAGTGAATGAATGGTCTTAATCCAGTCTCCTGATCAGTAGCAGAGATGATATTGGAGCACAGCTGTCCCACTAATGTGCTCTGCTGTGGTCGCACATCCAGTCATCTCTCTGGGTAAACTCTGTCCAGTTTATTTCTCAAATGACTCTGTCTCTCTATCTATCTCTGTCTCTCAGCTGTGGGAACATTTTAATGGGCTTTTTGTTCTCTATCTCCCATTCTAGGTTGGAAAAAACATTGACAAATGGCTGTGGATGCTCGGGGCCAATCGTGTTATGACACGTGCAGAAGGAGACTGCAATGTAGCCAAGAGCAAGCATGGCAGCATTGAGGCTGACTTTGCTGCCTGGAGGGCCAGGTTCCTCCTTAGGCTCCAGGCCCTTTGCAAAGGGGAGAAGAAGTCCTGTAGTGGAAACTGCAAGAAAGGGAAGTGCAAGTCCAAAGTGAAGCAGAGCAGGGAGGGATCCGATCATGAGCAAAGGGTGTCGGAGCAGGAAAACACTGAGGTACAGGGAGTCTTCTTGGCCAAGTAAGGTGGCCTTAATTCCATCATAATAGTCTCATAGCAGGGATGGCTCTAGTGAACCTGAAGATCCTTTTGGAGAGCTACCGACTTCCTCCTTCCCTTCCACAGCTCAGGGTGAAGAACAGTGGTGTGACCTTCACCTTACATTTTGGCTCCTTACTTCTGTGCCACGGGCTCAAGTTAGTTTGGTCCCATGGTGAAGGAGAGGGCCAGATAATTAGTAGTGGGCCCTGAAATGAGGGGGAGGTACACATGGAGTGGAAGTGTGGGGATGTTAGAAGGATGCTTACTGCTAAAGGTAAAGAAGGTCGTGCCATGACCAGTAGATGAATTACTCATAAGGGTCTTATTATCCTCCCAGCCCTTGTGCAGTATAGGAACATGCACAGTCTGAACCCCACTAACATTTCATCCTGTGAGCTTCTCTTCCTTAGTGGCATTGATAGCTGCAGGGGGAGCTGTGATATATGAGCCCGCCCTGTCTCCATTCTGAATCTGTATTGCTCTTGTCTTTTCCATGGTGTTTGTTAGCTGCAGTTTTGATCAAGAGGGATGTGACTACACATGCTATTACTGCGCATGAATAAACTCTGTGGCTCATTGCTTTGGAGTTTATTCATGTGGAGCACGTTGAGCTAGGTTGGAGCAGCTCCCAGCTGGCAGATGGCCCCAGGAGTTAGCCTGCCAGCCTGGGGCTCCTCCCCGCAGCTCAGTATGTGGTAGAGAGGCTGGATGCAGCAGCCTCCACACTGAATCACTCTCATGCCCCAGCCATTTGGGGCAGTGTCTATGTGTGCATTGCCGTAGAGTTTTTTAGTCTGCAGCAGGATGGTACTCGTATTTACTTCTGTGGAGTAAATTAGTTTACTCCAGCCTAATGGAGTCCACATATAGATGCCGAGATGTTTACTGCACAGCGAATTAGTCACCTGGGCAGTAAATGTCTTGTGTAAATGTGCCTTGAATAATCTCTCTTGCTCAATGGATTGTAAACCCAACAGTTGCTGAGAAGCTTGAATGCTCCCCCTTGTGCCCTGTATTATTATTATGCACAAGAACTTATCATTAGTGGTGCTACAGACCTTGGCAGAAAATAGGTTCTCTACTTGCTGAATGGGCTGTCTTTTCCTTAGGCTGCCACTGTAAACTCTGTTGATATAGTAGCCTGACTTACTGGAAAGTAAGGCAGGCTCCCTTCTCTCGTCTTTACTTTTATCCTGCTTACTCCAATTGTGAGGGGAACCTAAGAAAATTAGGCACCCAAAGTCCCTTTGAATTCTAATGGAGTTGAGTCACCAAAGTCCTTATTTTCAGTGACATGGTAGCAAAAAAGACCAATCAGGTGAAAGAGCAGAATGAATCTGGAAACCAGATCATGAGTTGTAAAGGGTTTTGTACTGTTAAACTCATGTTAAAAGTGAAATGTTTGAATTACTTCTGTGACATTGGTTGTTATGTGGGTCCAAAGCTGGCTTGGTGGTAGTCTTCCAGAATACTGTTGGATGCCATATCATTGATTCCCTGGGCTGGCGTTGGTGGGTGTTTTATCAGTGACATGGAAGGCAGCCTTCTAAAAATCCCGTCTGCAATTTGATTCATCCTAGGTGGAAGAGTTATTTGAAACCACCAGTGAGGAAGAGTCTGGAGCTGAGGAAGATGGAGATGTTAACTCTGTCATTGACGTTGAAGATCTGGGAAAACTGATGGGTCACATGAAGAAAGCCAAGGTAGTGCAACTGTGGCAAGTTTATACAGAGAAATTGCTGACTGCCAGTGGGTGGAGGTGATGAAAATACTATTGTCAGATTTTCATGTCGAACTCTGAGAGTCTTATATACCAAGCAGCAGACTGAGCTGATGTTGAAGGTAGGAGCTGACGTGACAAAATGTGACTCGAATTTGTTGCTTTGCATGTTTTTGTTTGATATGCAGGGCTCCAAGCTGATGAGGGGAAAATGTGACTTGAAGTATTTAGCAGTAGGCTAGATATATATTTTCCCTGCTTTTAAGAATACAGTCATCCCAGTTGCTTTTAGTTATAAGTGTACAAATGGTGGCTGGCTACAGTTGCCATAATTGCCACAACATGGATTATAGGTTAGGGTTCCGTACCAGCTCTATCCTGAACCCCAGCTCTGCAAACTCAAGCAACTGCAAGTATGAACTTTAGGCTCCACTGTCTTGCTGATAAAAGGGGAAAGTCAGGGATACCTTGAGAAATTTTGCCTGGACTTTGAAAGATGGAGATTAGAACAGGAGTCTTTTTTCTGGGTTGGGTTTACCACTTGGTCTCTGTAGAGAGTCTAGAAAAATGGCGCTGTTCCATGGGAAGGTCTTGAGGCACAACAGCAGCAGCAGTGTTACCTAATATTAAAAAATGGGTGTTTTGCATATGCTCCTGGTAAAGCTGAAAAGCTACACAGTATTTATGTTCTTGGAAATACGTGTGCATGCACAAATACTGCCCATGTTTCATGCTCAGAAGAAAAATCTTGCTCCCCAAAATGGATAGGGTAGGCTTTCGAGGTGAATGTGCAGCAGTTAGTTTTGCCATTTGTAAAATGGATATTTTTCTATTAGGAAACGAAACCTCTTGCTCTGTGTGGATTTTATTAAATGCTCTGAGCAGCCAGTATTTCCCAGTGCTGTTGAAAAACCAGCCTCTGTCCCTGCCGCATGAACATGATCCATGTGTTATTCGGAGTGCATAACTGGGGCACTTTTAACTTGAAACTTCAGTTTAGCACGGTATGACAGCGAATGAGTTGTATATGTTGTCATGATCCGCAGCGTTAAGAGCAGTTGCTGGGGCTGCCACAGAAACCTGTGAGGTCTGACTTCCTGTTCCTTCTACATGCAACTCATTGCTTGCCTATTTTTGGATGTCTCCCTTCCTTTAGCATCAGTGTAATACCCCTGTCCCAGTGAGTGGGGCTCAGGGATCCATTTCCTTCTTGTAGGGGCACGAGGTGGTAGATCTCCCTTGCTCTGAACCATCCTCAGTCCTATCTGCCATCTGGCACAGTCTCTTTCTCTCTCTCTCCTCCACATGTTCGCCGCTAGAGAGCACCAAAGAAAAGGAAAAAACACTTGCTTTCCTTCACCTTCATTTGATTTGAAACCACTTCAGGGATAAGGAATAATTATTTTATGCCCAGGGTTTTACGGCAGAGTCGGCCTTGAGGTCTCACTGACTAATAACATCTGGCAACAGCTCCAGGAGTGTGCAAGGTAAAACTAATAAACTAGACAGTGGGCCATGTATTTATGGACAAGCAAATGACCACAGCAACAAATTGCTGTCACTTCTAACTTGTTATGATTACTGCATTGGTCGTGAGCAACTCTGGAATTTCCAGCAGAATCTGGTTTTATGAATAGGCAGCAAAAATCCACCGCTGCTTGACACTTGGCCCATGGAGAATCCAGGAGTGAAGCTGCTTTCTCTATCGCTTGCTGTCTGGTGTAGCTGGTGTCTTTTAAGGATCTCTTTTCCTGCCCAAATTGTCTTTTTGGTAGTCATTGCCCCTTGCTGGCCGGCTGTTTCAGAAGTGCAAAAACCCAGTGCAAACTAGAAGTTCTGCGCTACGGCTCTGACACAAGTTGTGTCATTTTGTGAAGTCCTGTTCCCTGGGTTTTGGATTAAAATCCATGATTATTTGTTAAAAATGGATTTAGCTGTAGGCCACCTGCTGCTGTCAGTTTTAACGTAAAAGCCTAGAATACCTCAATGGGAGCTCTGCGTGTGGAATCCTGTGAGGAGATGGCCATATAAATGTTGCATGAGAGCTCAGATAGGTGGCTATCCATACCGTTAGCCAAGAGAACGAATGACTTTGGCTCAGTGACAGATCTTGGAATATGTAGACTGGCTGATGAACAGATTTGTGCAAACACTTCAAGTGGAAAACAATCCTTGAGGTGCAGTTATTTACCATAATAAAAATAAATGTTGAAGATTTGATAGTAAAGTGCAGAAGAATCTGCACTGATGAATGCAATTCATGATCTATTTCCTTGTTTCCAAGATGGAAGTTACAGTTGTGTATTAAGTCTGAGGCATCCTGCTTTCCCAAGCTGCGTCTTTGCTTTAGCTATTGTGAATTAGTACGGGGGAAAGACTTCCTTGAGATAGATACCACATTTAAGCTCGTCTTCTTTTACAGAATGCTGAGTTGCTCCTTTCGCTACTTAGTCACGGGGCCTGATTGATATCATTTCACATTACTGCAGCCAGTGGATTACAGCAGTTATTCTGATTTAGATGATGAAAGGGAGAGTGTAATAGGCCCTGAAATCTGTTTGCAGAACTCAGTGTGGTATGGTAGCTACTGAGACCTATACTGTGCCAATCTGTGAATTAATATGCATAGACTTTGTAGCATGATGTCAAACCAGACCTTCCAGCATTCATGGAGGTTTGGGATGAGCATTTGCACGCTCTGTGCATATGGGGCAGTAAAATTTAAATTTTGAGGAATTTGAGGGCCTAGTTTTGATTTAGTCTCAGGGCTCATGTTGCCACTGATAAAAAAATTATTGGAAGGGAAGTGAATATGCCATCTGTATGGCTATAAATCCTTGCAGTCTTGATTTTTATGTCCAGGCAGCAATCTTGTGGTGGCAGCATCTTTAATGAATATTTGTTCAGAACTGTGTAGTTGATCTCCATATAAGTGTGCTGAATTGGGTCCCTTGACTGGATGGGAAATCCAGGCTAGATTTTTCTTGTCTTTTTCCCACACCAGCATGTTAGCATTATACAAAAGCGGGTAGGTATTTGAGAGTGACAAGCGAGATGAATGCAGACACAGAGAGCAGAATTACAAGGAAGGGTGCTGGCATCCCTCTCCCAAAGGGCAGATCAATTCTAGTTCATCCCTCTAGAAAAGTAAGGGATCTCAAACAGTTGCCAGACATAAGGCAGCTGTTTTAATCTGATGGAGCCCACTTCAGTGTGCTGTGTATTGGGGCTGAGCCCAAAGGTTGACAAGCAGAGGCTTGCAAAGGATGCAGGTGTAGAAAACAGTGAATAACACAGAGGTAACTGTCACTATCCTGTTTGTCTTCTTGGAAGAAGGGGCAAAGAGAACCTTGACTTTGGTCAAAGAAATAGTGAGTGGTTTGTTTGTTTTTACTCTATGTAGTTTAAGTTGTGGCAGTTCTTACTGGAAGATTAAATTAAGGTTGAGTGCTTAGTAAGGTTTTCAAAAAACAGGACTGGGAATATATGCCTTTCCCAAGCATCAAAAAGCCATCTTGCTTCAGGGCATAAAATAACCAGTAACTGATAGGGTTTAGGACAAAACTTGCCTTTTGGCAAAATGGTAGATCTGGCTTGCTCAACGGAGACCCTGAGAGTGTGGGACTGTGACAGCATGGGGTGACATAACCAGGGCTCTGCCCTGGCTTGTCCCCTTGCTGTCACGGCCCTGTGCTTTTGGGGTCTTGATAGAGAATGGGCAGGACATGCAGCTGATCAGGGAGCTGCTCTGGGACCAGGACCGGGGCCAGGATCTTTTCAGCAGCGACAGCACGGGATCCCAGGCCGGGGCAGAACCGTGATCCACTCCCTGCTGCACTCCCCTGCCTGCAGAACCCGCACTCATTGCAGGGGTATCTGAGCAGCAGATCGTGGCTCTGCCCCATCCCCAGACCCATGCTGTCGCTGCCCCAGGATCCCAGGGTCTCCCCAGCCCCTCCTGCCTGTTTTGCTCCCAGCCGCGGCCCCATCCCAGCAGCTCAGCTGCATGCCCTGCCCACATGGGTCCTGTCCCTGGCAGTGCAGGGCAGAGGGGCTGGGGTGCCCGGGCAGTGGGGCTGGGCTCAGCGGTGGCAGCCCAAAGGAGCTGCTTCCACAGGGGCTTCTGGGAAATGGAGTCCGGTGTGGGCTCGACTTTGCCCACCCCTGCCCTATGGGAAAGGTTATGCCATTATTGCATGCTGTGGGATTTCTGTAGGGCTGTTTCCCTGAAACATCGGGTACTAGAGATGAAGAGACAGGATTCTGGGTTAGATGGGACGCATCTGGAGCGAGCAGGATGCGTGCTGTATCTTCAGCTTTGCTACATTTTCAGTTTTTGTTATTTAAGGAAAGGACCTGATTGTGTTCCCTCCACAGGCTTTCCTATAGCAGTGGAAATGGGCATGGCTCCTCTATAGATTTAACAGCCAACTCTGCTTTTGATCGATACAAATGCAGTGCACTTTCCCTGTCCTCTAAAGCAACTCCCCGGACTGTGTTTATCAGATAAATATGAAACCTAATAGATATATTTGTGGCCTTGAAGGCTGTGGTCATTAATCACAGGAATACTGGTTCTTAATACATGGTATCTCCCACAGCTGGGAGATTGTGATAAACTAGAAATACAGATACATCCAGGTCTCTTCCTTGGGAAGGGAATTGTTTGGTTAACCTTTGTGTTTATAAACTACATTCATGAATACTAACGGTATCCTAATTTGGGGATCAGTTGAGAAGTTATCATACAGGCATATTTTACAGTGTTAAGATTAACGCCTCTGTTTTCTAAAAAAAACCCACTGTAATGTGCTATGTGGGCAAGCCTGAAATATTAAAATGGAAGGCAGGTATGAGAGAGGCAGTTGGAATTGAAGGGCTGTTTGGGATGTGACCATGGTGTGACGCTAGGAGTCAGGACTCATGGGGTGTCTATACACGTTCTCCTGGTGGGGTGGGGTGTTTCATTTGGAGCCCCTTTTG